AAAATGTCGACGTCGCCGTTGGTGGTTATGTCATTATACGTTTGCAATCACCTATTTATTGGGGCTCGTTTACCTAAATTTGTTCTCTGGTTGGGTAAACAGAAGATTTTGGTAATCGGATGTCTTGGAATGGATCTTGGAACTCTGATACTTAATTGATTTAACAGTGCCGGTGATAGTAGGAGGCCGTGAATTAGCTTATGAAGTGTTTTAAGATCACTAAGTCGACGCCTTTTTCCGAGAGACTAATTTGAAGTGGGATAGCCTAGTATTATAGTCAGCACGGTAAGGACAAGTTTGATCTTTAAAGGCGGGATCTTTAAGTAGCGGGTAAAATTGCGCTGGATACGCTCTATTCGATCACTGTGAATTTGGTGTGATGGGTTCCAAACAGGTGATGCATATTCTAATGTACTACAAATAAGAGCTTTGTATATAGTGAGAATAGACATAGGGTTCCGCAAATCCTTACATATTCGCTTTACGAATCCTGCCATCTTGCATGCTTTGGATGCAATATTATCAATATGGATGTTGAAATTTAATTTTTTATCGATCATTACGCCAAGGTCACGGACTACTTCGGATTCTGGTAATTTTTCTCCGTCTACAAAATAACTGGAGCGAATAATATTTCTCCTTATGGCAATTTTTATAGACAGACATTTCTTAGGATTTAGTAACATTTTTACTTTTGCACCAATCTGAGATAGAGGTGAGATCTGTCTGTAATCTAACTACATCATCTGGAGACTCTATAACCTTATACAATTTTAAGTCATCCGCAAATATTGCGTAATTACTAAAGGAAATGTGAGCAGAAATGTCATTTATAAATACCAAAAAGAGAACAGGGCCGATATGCGACCCCTGTGGAACGCCTGAAGTTGGATAAAACGAAAAAGACTTGAAACCCTGTATTGTTACTCTTTGAATTCGATTAAATAAGTAGGATTTTATCCAATTCAACAGGTTTCCGTGAATACCATAATAATTTAATTTGGACTTCGTACGCGAAAAATCCCGCACGAAGAAATTATCTGGAGCGTTGAGGATTGTCTGTTTAAAAATAATATTGGTAAGGAAGATTTGGAGGCTATACGTCAAGATATTTCGTCCTTGTTACGTCGTAGTTCAGTGCCGAAACCAAACCTTCCTAAAGACGAATTTACAGCGTTGATTAACTTACGGAACAGACCAGAGCTAACGATTCTCCGCGCGAATAAAGGAAATGCTACGGTAATAATGGACACGTCAGAGTATAATTTTAAAATACTACAGCTTTACCGGACGAAAGTACATACAAAAAGGTCAAAACAGACCCCACAACTAACACGCTTAAAGCAACTAGCGATTTAATAAAGAAACACTCCGAAAAATTAAATCTCGACGTGAATTAGCTAATACCATCATGTACCAAACCACCGAGTTTGTATGGGTTACCAAAGATACACAAACCAAACGCTCCACTACGTCCTATAGTGAGCCAGATTGATTCACCAACTTATAAGCTGGCACAACACTTGGCAAAAGTACTGTCACCACTGAGAGGACATACCAGAGCACACACAAAGGATTCATACCATTTTGTTAGTGAGATAAAAGACCTACATCTCGCTGACAATGAAACTATGGTCAGTTTTGATGTTCAGTCACTATTCACATGCCTACCTATTGAAGACTGCATATCAATTGTAACTAGGAAGCTAGAATATAATAACATGCCTGCTGAATATGCAGTATTACTCAAACACTGCCTCACATCTGGCTATCTATTGTGGAAGGAGGAGTTCTACAAGCAAGTAGATGGTGTGGCGATGGGCTCACCTGTATCTCCCATAGTCGCTGACATATTCATGGAGGACTTCGAGGAGAAAGCCCTTCTTACTGCTCCTGTAAATCCAAGATTCTACAAGCGGTACGTAGACGACACTTTCACAATTTTACCATCTGACAAAGTAACTGCATTTTTAAACCACCTTAACTCCATAAACTCTAAAATACAATTCACAATGGAGTTAGAGGCAAATAATTCTTTAGCTTTCTTAGATGTTTTAGTCATTCGAAATCCTAATAACACAATTGGTCACACTGTGTATAGAAAAAAGACCCATACCAACCGATATTTAAATGGTGAATATCACCATCATCCTTCACATTTAGCTACCGTGGGTAAATCTTTGTTTCAGAGAGCACGAGGGATCTGTGACAGAAAACATCTGGCCGCCGAACTTCAGCATGTATTGCAAGCAAGTATTGCAAGACAACAAGCTTCGGGTCCCGCACCTACGTCACAGTGACCGAGTGAAGCCAGCCACAGTCGAGCGTGTACCTGCTGTACTACCATATGTCAGAGGAGTCACAGACAAGGTTGGCTACATCTTGAAGCGAGCTTCTATTAAAACATACTACAAGCCGCCGAAGAAGATTAGTCAATTTTTACCATCCGTCAAGTGTAATATCCCTCTACAAGATGCAGGAGTGTACAAGTTAGATTGTGAATGTGGTCTCTCTTACATAGGTCAAACAAAAAGATCCATAAAAACCCGCGTGAAAGAACATATAGCTGACGTGAAGCACCGACGCTCCGGGAAGTCTGCAGTCTGCGAACATGTTCAAGATCGTCCCCACCATTACATTCGTTTTGATAAACCACAAATTCTCGCAAAAGAACACCGATTCCTACCAAGGATGATGACGCGAGGCTATTGAAATTAAAAAACATCCAAATTTCAATAGAGAAGATGGATGGGTGCTGCCACCTGCTTGGGATCCTATAATTAACAAAATTAAACCCACAAACCCAAGCATACCACTGCAAGAGTTCATGATACTATAAGCTCGTTTTGCGTAAATCGGACCAAAAACTAATATTCAAAAACTGAAGGTAGCCGGACTAACTATGACATTGGGACGTGAAACATCTCAGTCCCCCCCTGACCATGGTTGCTGTAAAGCACCCGAAACGTCGGGAATTAAAAATAAGTAAAAGTAGTTAAATAAACGCGATAAAATCCGTAAATTTAGTTTTATTCAATCAGTTTTAATTGATTTATCGAAAAGCAATTTAAGTGGGAGAGTTAAATATTTATACGTTTTTTTAATAAAGTAGGGTGGGATGCCGTCCGGTCCAGCACCTTTATTCGGGTCAATTGACTTTAATACTTTCTCGACGTCTCGCTCTGTAATTTCAACATTGCTTAGATTTAATTGTGGATAGCAATCTCCAAGATCCGGTTGCGTTGAATTGTCAGGGGGAGAGTATATCGAATAAAAACGTGTTGCAAAAAAGATTACAAATTTCCTCACTACCACGCGCAGCCTTGTCTTCCAAATACATCTCAGACGGTAAGTTAGAAAGACCTCCACGTAAGGATTTGACATATGACCAGAATTTTTTTGGGTTTTTAATGAGAGCATATTCAGTGTTTTTTAAATATGTATTGTAGCAAGTTGACAATAAAGATTCTACGCGTTTATTAGATAAGATAAGTTCAATCTTGTCTCTAGGATTCCGGTAAATCTTGTATTTTGAACGAATTCTATTTCTTTCGGCTATTAATTTTATAAGGTTTCTTGTGAACCAATGTGGATATTTTGAACTACGACGTTTAGTTCTGGGTGCAGTTGATTGAATAACATCATGTATAAGTTGATAAAATTTTGAAACAGCGATATTAACGTCATCCAGATCCGACAGTTCTTTGACCCAATCTATATGACTTAATTTACTTTTTACTATTGCATAATCAGCTTTTTTGTAATTATACGTTGCAAATTTCTTGTTACGTAAATAGTGATACTTATATGAACTGAACCCAATCGACAGAGCTGGATGGTGTGAATCTAATTTGCAGAGCGGATTAATACAATTATCGACTATTATACTGTCTAAGTTACTTAGGACGAGATCTAAGATACGACTGTTATCGTTTGCAACATGATTAAACTGAGACAAATTATTTAACGACATAAAGTCAATCAATAAGTACCCTAAGCTACACTGATAATTTTATGGAGTCAAGTTACAACATCCACTTGACTCTTTATTCCAGTCTATAAATCCAAGGTTGAAATCACCTAAAACAATCACATCACCGAAATGAGATAAAATCACATCACTGCAGTTGTCGATAATAGGTTCGAGTGACGACACAGTTATTGGTGGTGGTATGTAAACGGCACCAATTAAAATCGCTTTATCTGTCGATGTATTTACTGATATACACAAATCCTCTTCAGTGCTTTCATAGTGAAACATTCTCTTCGAGTGGTACTTAATGGAAACAACGATAAAAACGCCTCCGCCACCTTTTCCGGCTAGGCTGATTGATTGGCGATCTCTACGGTATACATAATAGTTGTTGTTAAATAGCTCATCATCGTAAACGCTGTCATCCAACCAGGTTTCAGTCCCAACAATAACATCGTAGTCTCCCAACAAAGTTGCAAGTCTTAAGTCTTTAGTTTTAGTTTTCAGGCCTCTAAAATTTTGGTAATAAATCTTTAAGGTAGCCATTTTATGCGTTAATCAAATCCCGTTAAAATGTCCAAGTATTATTATAGTGTGTTTAGGTTATTGTAACACTTTATTTGTTTTGCAGGGGACTGGTCATTTTTTCTAACAAAAATACGGCCGTTACGGATCCAGACGAAATCGTATTGTTTTTCTCGAGCAACTTGACGAGTCCGCGCGTGTAGAGCTTTAAAATACGGCGCTAGACGTTCGGAGACGAAAATAGGCGACTTGCTTTCTATGTATCCCAGATGTCCTGTGTTTAGTTTATTAGATGCGTTCTTTTTATTGAATTGTGTTACCGCTGCTAGTATCTCATCACGAGTTTTTACTGAAGGAAGTTTTATAATAATTGCGCGGGGCCTCTTATTTGAGTCATTCATCTTCCTAACTCTCATACAGGTAGCTGTTTCGATGAGATCGGTAGGAATAGATACAGTATTGCATATTTGTTTGGCAACATAAATTAAGTTCTCAGTCTTACTTTCCGGAACACCATTCACTTCAATGTTCGTCTCACGCGAGTGTTGCTCAAGTAAAATAAGTCTATTTGATAATTCGTTCACTTTTGTATGTAAATTGCTGTTTTCAGCGGAAAGCGACTTTATATGCTCTTTTGACGTTTTTAATTCTTTTTTCATTCTATCATATTCCGCGCTTAAAAATTCAAGTCCGCTTTTGATATCTTTTAAGGAACTTAACTCCTCTTTTATAGTTCTTAAATCCATTTTTATAGATGACTCCTCTATAGTTTGATTTAAAAAATTTCCCATTGATGATTTAATTTCTGATCTAATTGTTAGCATTAAGGATTCATCTCTGGGTTGTGTAGGTGAACTCACCTTCTGATTACTAGGTAGTTGAGGTTTTTTACGCTGTGTTATATAATCACTGTTAGGAGTACTAATTTCCTGCAACGAATCACCACAGTCGCGCGGGTCCGTTCTGGACTGAATGGGGGTATTTGAATTGCCACTCTTTCGCTCTTTATTCCTACAACCAGGGCAGATCCATTTCTCTTTCTTGTCTTTCTCCAGCATCATAAGGCGTTGGTGAGAGATATTAGCGCAAACTGTGTCATATATATCTTTGCAAAGTGAACATGTTACAAAGTCCTTATTAGTTATTTTATTTAAACATCCCGCGCACAATTTTGTATTTGAAGCCATAGCACCATAGATATTTAAAACCCCTGTGTACGTTAGTTGTTGGTTCCTTTAGCGAAACTGTTTTTTCGGAGTGCTTTCGCTTAAAATTAATGGCAAAGTAAGATGGTCTGACACTAGGAGTACTAGGCGCACATAAACAAGTATTCTTAAATAAATCAAAATTACTATAATTGCAAAGTAAGAAGGTCTGACGCTTGGAGTACTATGCGCACATAAACAGGTAAGTGAATTATGACTGATTATTGATTCAATCACTAGTAAAATATCTTTTCTCTACCACATGTGTGCGGATGATGTCCAGATTTACACCCAGTCAACTCTTGAGAATTTGCCGAACACAATCGCTACATTGAATAAAGATTTAAATATTATTCACGAGTGGAGTAAGTCATATGGCCTAAATATCAATCCTAATAAGACACACGGCTATCATTATTGATAGCCAGAGCTTTATCTCAAGAATTGATTAGTTCTCCGTACCACCTATCGAATTCGATGGTGTTGTAATCCCTTACTTTGAAAATGTCATAAATCTTGGTATTTACCCTGCTAATTCCTTAAATTGGATATCAACTGCCAACTGAATGAGGTAAGTAAGAAAACCTTTGTCGCTCTATGTACTCGTACACTGCGTCGTCTTCGTTCATTTCTTCCCATTTTTACACACATATATATATATATATATATATATATATATATATAAGACATGTAAACACAACATCGTATAGGTTAGAACACGCACGGCTTGCTAAATACATACGCATTGATATTTTAATATTAGAACATAATTTTCTTTTAAATTTATTAAAGTTATGACGCGTACACTTGCTAAACACACAATAATGGAGAAATTAAAACGCATATGACTTGGTAAGCACAATAGTAAAGAGAGGTTATAATGCGTACTTGCTAAAAATATATAAGCATTTATTATTGTCTATATAAAATCTCTACTTACCTAACTCCATCAGCAATATCCGGAACTTGTGCAGAAACACTGTCAGGAGTTTATTATTGTTACTATTTTTATTATTTATTATGTACAAAAATAATCGTTGCGACACCACACTGTTCAATGCGAAATAGAAAGACGAAACGAAAATAACTGGCTTGCTTTCTATGACAAAGAGAGAGAGAGAGAGAGAAACACGCGCACGCCGCACGGCTTACAGTTATAGCAAAAAGTGTCGTTACAACTTTCGGTCTTAATTTTTTCCGTCTAGCCCCCTTTCGCAACGCGCGATGAGGAACTTCGTTCCAATAATCATCCTTTCACGGTAAATGTTGATCCAGTGAGAAATTAGAACAATTGTTGATTCATCTATTTGACGTGTTTGCTCAGCTCCTCGTAGCACAAACTGATATACTTTGATCCATCCTTGATGCGCGTGTGACGTCGGTGGATCTGCGCTAACAGGTTTTCAATATACTCGTCAGCGATTTGACCAACATTTGTTGATCTATCAACGGTCGAAAAATCATACTGAATATGATTTTTCAGATCCAGAGTATATTTCATTTATATGCGACATTTACTTTATTCCTGTGTGAATCATTAGATCAGGAGCCACAATTGACGAATAAGTACTCGACCACAAAGCGGCAGCTCGCGTTCTGCGTGTGGCAAAGAACCCAGTAGACTACTTCGTTAGAGTAATAAGGTAAGAAATATGCGTTAGCTGCTGCGAAAATTACGTTTGAGGATCAAATTTTGGCAGATTTCATTACGAAATGACGTTTGCGCGGGTTTTTGTTATCGGGTGAGTGAATTTGTCTCTTGTGAATATGAATTATCATGGACCAATCAGAAGATAATGGTGAGTATTTTTTATCTATATTTGATTTATTATCTATTTAGAAACTCGATATTATGTAGATTTTTTTATAGATTGAGGGTGACAAACAGGGTAGGTATTATATAAATGAGTTAATCCAAATGTGTGGTCCCGGTTCAAATGCAGAGTAGACTGCTTCAGTAGAAACGCACCTTCTCATCTATTATCGATACGTATGGTAATAAATAGGTTATAGGCGACAAAGGTTTTCTTACTTACCTCATTCAGTTGGCGTATCCAATTTAAGGAATTAGCAGGGTAAATACCAAGATTTATGACATTTTCAAAGTAAGGGATTACAACACCATCGAATTCGATAGGTGGTACGGAGAACCAATCAATTCTTGAGATAAAGCTCTGGCTATCAATAATGATAGCCTGTGTCTTATTAGGATTGATATTTAGGCCATATGATTTACTCCACTCATGAATAATATTTAAATCTTTATTCAATGTAGCGATTGTGTTCGGCAAATTCTCAAGAGTTGACTGGGTGTAAATCTGAACATCATCCGCACACATGTGGTAGAGAAAAGATATTTTACTAGTGATTGAATTAATAAAAATAACAAAGAGTAAAGGTGACAACACGCCGCCCTAGGGCACGCCTGCAATAATATCACATCAAGATAAGTGAGTTTCATCGACACTAATACACTGCCGACGGCTACAAAGATAACTTTGATTTCAGTTAATTACTGATGGAAATATGTTAAGGGAACACAACTGACTCAACAGTATATCTAAATCGACAGTATTGAACGCATTACTGAAATCGAGCAAGGTCATGACTGTGAGTTGTTTTTATTCATACTCCACCGTATGTCATCAGTAACTGTGTTGTGAAATAGCAGCTGTTGGGAAATAAGTTTTTCAAGGAATTAAAAAAGGAAAGGTAGGACCGAGATGGGACGGAAATTAGAAAGTTTGAGTTGATTAGATTTCTTCGGAAGGGTTAAAACATGAGCACTTTTCCAGGCTTGAGGGAATTTAGAGGACCAGACACATGCATGAAGTAAATAGGTGATAATGGGAGTGATAACATCAAGGAGAAGAACAGTCATATTACGGCTAACGTTGTCGCTAACGACAGCATTTGAGGAAATATATATCGATATGATCTTTTTAAACATCACATACATTAAATTGGCTAAAAACGAACGGAAGATAATTAGGAGTCGGTCTTGCAGAAAGAGAACGAAGATTTTCATTCAAGGTTGCTCTCTAGTTCGCACATAAACGTATCTTGCACAGTTCGTGGTTTCAAAAATATTGGTTATCCTTTAGTTTAAATGATGCTTGAAAATTGTTAATTTTTCCAATTTCTTCTGTAAATAATCCTTTATATTCTTTTAATAAATTGTAAAGCTTTACTCTAAGTTCTTGATCTGTTATATCACTTTCTTCTTTATTTATAGAGTTAAGGTTAAATTGTAATTTAAATTCTCTGAGCCATTCTCTTCCAACTACCGATTCTACCTTTCCTGTCTATAATGAATATTCTTCCTATAATTTCTTTATTATTATATGAAATTTGAATTGTTGAGGTCCCAAGAGGTTTTATAATTTCTCCGGTGTATGTTCTCAACTCTGACTGGAGTACTTATTAATTTTGAATTTGGAAAATTCTTGTAGAAATATTCAGCAGAACATGTAGTAACTGCTTATCCCGTGTCCATTTCTAATTTATGCAATTTCCCATTCAATGTTAGAGATATGTAGAATTTGTCACTTTGTACATGTATGTTCTGTAATTTATTTATTTCATGGACTTCCTCCTCAGAGTTACTCTCTAGTTCTATTTGAATCTGTTTTTGCTCTTTGAAACAAACTGATTGTGTGTGACCTTTTATTTTACATTTCCTTCAGTATAGTTTGTATTTTATTCTACACCAGTTCGCTGTATGGTTATTTTCTCCACATCTAAAACACTTAACGTTTTTATTTGTAACTTCTTGTGTATTCTTAGCAAACGTATTCTTTTTATACTTCTTTACTGAAATTTTATTTATATTTGACTGTATTTCTGATCCCATTTCTTTAGTTTCAGATTTGGATGTTTCAATAGCTAATGCAATTCTCATAATATCATCAAACTTTGTGGTTGATGGTTCTTGGAGTAGTCTTTCCTTAATTTCAGCATTACGCAGCCCTCGAATGAATTGTACCCTGAGGTTTGTCTCAAAAGTAGACTGCTTGCAGTTGTTCACGATAAAATTGCATTTTCCTCCGATCTCTTTCAACCCTGCCACATAGTTTGCAACTGATTCGTACTCATTCTGTGTTCTGAAACCGAACTTGTATTGCTGTACCACTTCCCCAGGCTCCGGGGCTATATGATTGCCCCGGATCGGGATTTTCACTATTTCATTGTAAATTTTTGATTCATGTTTACTTGATGCCGTAATAAAACTTGATAGTATTTCGGATCAATTCAATTTAAAAGTATACTGTAACTCCCTTTAAAGTGACGTAATTATGTAATGCAAATAATTCGAAAAGCTTTCATTTATTTCATCATATGGTTGTAAATTTATACTACTAACTGGCTTGGTACCTAGCTCAAGCAATGCCTTTTGTAAATTAGCTTGCTGTGTTTGCATACCTCGCATTGTTTCCATCATGTGCGCCAGTACTGCGGTTATTTGTTGTTCCATTGTGAATTTTTATGATGGAAAAAGGAATTGCGTGAAGCGGGTTATTATCACCGAATACGGAACCCCTGAATAGAAGGAAAATAAAAGCAAGTGGGTGCACGTGGTTTTTTTTTTCACAAGTATGAGGTTATATAGGCGAGGCACACTTTTAATATATAAAAATAAATAAAAATGTTTTATTTCAGTAAATCATTTTACAGCTATTTGCCGAGGCCTCCCAGAAAGTAATCATAAGATACTTGTGTTGGGAGAGTCTCGCTCATCCTACGTAATCGTATCAACTTAGATTTACATCAGAAAAAAAAATATATAAACATTTTAAACTTAATATTACAGTTATTCATGCATTTTAAAATGAAAGAAAGAAGCTTAGGAGAAATGTATACCTGAGTAGTTGTGTCAGTTGTGTGTTAGTTTATTGCGTGTGTGTGTGTGTGTGTGTGTGTGTGTGTGTGTGTGTATGTGTGTGTGTGTGTGTATGTGTGTGTGTTGTGTGTGTGTATGTGTG